GTTGTTCTTCAAAGCCTTTTAGCACTATCTTTTAAGACTACAGTCATGTATTACTTCGATATTATACAAAAATAATTTGAAGCAAACCAACAGAAATGACACTTCTACACTGTACTTAGTGAAACTTACTGTAGTGCACAAATCTGATCATATACTGAAAAGTTTTAGGTTACTAAAGGCCTCAAGTCCAATGCCAGGTTGTGCTGTTCTTGAAAATTAATTTGTAATGTACAGTAATGATCTACCTTTTCCTAAATAACACCAGTCGGACTTTAGTCTTCAAAGTCTACATCCCTGTCCTTAGAGATTCATCCGGGACCTGCAGAGTCTCCAGTCTCTACTCTAGGGATGAGAAGGTGTTACTTCCATTCTGATGCCAACCAATGGACACAACACTATTCTTAATCCCGCAGCCAAACCAGGCCAAGATTGGAACATTCATAAAAATTCACTCTCATGGAAACTGACACCCAACTAGTTAATCTGCATTACAAAGTAAAGGGTCCTCATCTTCACCTCCCCTTTCTTATAGCTAAGCATCAGAAGCTGTTTATGACTTGCCAAATCACTTTTAGAAAATTCCTTCTCTGTGTACCAGTTTCCTCTGTCAAAGGCCAATGATAAAAACCTGTTCTAAGAAGGTGTGATTCAAGTTAATGAGCATATATAAACACAGATTACTGCTTTTATTATGCCTAATTTTTGGTCGCACTAATAAAAATCTCCAAGTTCTCTTTACTGGAAGTCTCTCTCTGTTAAAGGTAACACTACAGAGAAATCCGATGACTTTGTGCATACATAGATTTTTTTTTTTCTTTTTTGGTACTGGGGACTGAACTCAGGACCTTGTGCTTTCGAGGCAGGTGCTGTGCCACTGAGCTAATTCCCTGGCTGTGCATATATGTTAATGTGTGCAAGGACTAACTCTTCTTTCTAAATGTAGACTCATAAATTCTTGCTTTCTTGAGCTTTTGCCACCTGTGTGTCAATTTTTCCCTTTTCTCAAAGTCTTGTCCTTTTCTAGACATCCCTGCGTTAGTGCCACCCCACATTCTTTTCTTTTATGTTTTGTTTGCTATTTTTCTCTTTGCCCTCTGAATTTCTTACCTCCGAAAACTAGTTTAGGCTCTTTTTGTTTCTCTCTTCACTCACCTTTGAGTAATCTCATATGAACCAGCAATTCTTTCACGGTTTCCACCAGACAGCAAACTCACAAATTCTTGTAACCTCTATAAACTTGGATTTCTATCTTCCTTGCTTGACACCCCTATTAGAATTATCTGAAAAATCAGATCCTTCCCATTGCTCTTCTCAACAATGACATCAACATCTCTAGTTATCTAGCCAAAATAATCAAATCATTTCTCTTCCTGCTTCTCTTTAAGCCTGTCATGGGAGTAATGTGAAGAATCCCCTAGATTCCACTTGTGTGCTCTCTTCCAACCTCTCATTTTCATCCCACCAACACTACACTGTAACAGATCCTAACCTGAGCTGGGGCAGCTACAACAACCTCCGAATTTGTTCCTTTACATTCTGTCAACTGCCACTTCAATCCTTCTCGCTCCCAGAGTGAGTGGCTTTGACCAAATTCTTGCTGCTTTAAAACAAGCAATGGCTGCCTGTTGCTACACCCTGAGCATGTACGATTTTTCATATTAATACCCCAAATCACAATATCTAGCCAAATCTCACTGCTCCCCTACACATACTCTATGTTCCAGTCAAACTCTACTAATATTCCTGAGACATGTCTGGTGGGTTTTGTTTTGCTTTGTTTTGGCAGAAAAGAGAGAAGGGATTTGAATTAATTACCTGTTTCTTACCCCATCAATCCTTCAAGGCCCATAAAAGTTTCCTTAATTTCTCAAAGTATTCATATTATCCTCACCCAGTGTCTCCAAAATTTTCTTTTTTTATTTCTTTGTTTTCCCTCTCTCCTTCCCTCCCCCTCCCTCCCCCTGTTCCTCCCTTCCTTTCTTGTTCTCTTCCTTCCTTCCCTCCTCTTGCTGGAGATTGAATCCATGGCCAGGAACATGCTAGGCAAGCTTTGTGTCACTGAGCTCCATCCCTAGCCCAAGGCTTCCTTAGTTTCTCTACAACCCAAGTCCCTCTCTCCTGCATTTGATTTCTCATAGTTCTCTGTTGTTTAAATCTGTACTTATTTTACTCTAATTTATAGCAGAATTGCTCATGCTCAGACTTCCCCCTCCCATGAAATTTTAAACTCCTGAGCACAGGAATGTGCTGTTATCACCTTTGTGAGTTGCTATGTCTAACCTGCGCTTAGCACTCGTATGCACTAAAGAAATGTCTTTGAACTTGAACTCACAAGAACATTTTGGCATTCATCAGGTACATTTAACAACCAAATATCTTTAAGAACGAGGTAAACTCTGATGACAAATTACTTGTTCCTAGGTTTGCAGACAATTGGGATGGAGCAAGTCTTGGTTTGGCTAAATGGTAGAATCAAGATTTGTATCAAAGATTTTTTAAAAAAAAATCTTGCTAGTGATAGAACAGATAACATTCTCCCTCCTATATCAGCTGTTTACACTTTCCCACTGGAATACTGGAACGTGGAGCAATGAAATGAGCTCGGGATTACTCTGAGGAAATTGGGGGTGGAGTAAAAGTGGAATTCTCTCCTCAGGACCCTGCTGAATTTTAAGTTCAGCTCTGCCTCTCTGCTTACTGAAAATACCCCTGTGACCTTGCTAGACTTGGCATCTTTCTCAGAGTCCACCCTGGCCTTCCTGCTCACGTTTCCACAGTGATGTGAACCCTGTTCGGTAGGAATATGCTATTCAGCACACATGAGGATTATTCTGAGCTCTTCCTATCTCTGCCAGATACCGAGCTAGTCTCGGAGGTTACCAAGTGACAGGGCCTGCTGCCCTACCCCCAAGAGAAACATTCACTAATGTGTATCTCCTTCCAAAGACTGGGTCTTCTTCCCCTACAGAATAAGTACACCACAACACTTCCTCGCTGAAGCAGGTGAAGTCGGTAGGTAGACAGGAAAGGTGTTGTATGAGCAGTTAGACGGGGAGCCCACCACTGAATCGCCCCAGGGCACTGTGTAATGGTCCTGGAGCCTCAAATGTGAATACAATAACCTCTGCTCAGCCCTACTTTCTCAGACAAGAGTGTACAGGTATCCCATTTAGTCCTGATTGAAGGAAAAAGATGATTCTTTTAAAAGAAAATGAGCGAGTTTATAAAAAAGCAATTTGGCAAGAAGCAAAATGGGCAATATTTATAAACCTTAGGGAGGTGTTGAAGCGAGCTGACAGCGCTTTAATCCCAAAGGATCGGGTCTTTTCCTCCATTTTCTGGGCCATTTACACTCCGTGTGCTAACTTCAGCAATAATGAAACCGCCTCAGGATGCGTCGCTTATTTTAAATCCAAGCCCTTTCCTGTAGGATCTACTCCCAGCCTTAGATTTCTGTTTATCCAAGTGCAGCTCGGCCAGGCGGCGGCGGCGGCTCTGAGGCAGCCAAGCAGCAAGCAGGGGACTGGTGGGGTCCCTCCTGGGTCGCCCCACAGGCCTCGGACCGGCAGTGGACAGTTTTAGGGCGGCAGGGGGCGCTGCAGAATCTCGGTCCCTCCCGGAGAGAACCATCTCCCCTTCAAGGCCAAGTTTAGACCCCAAGTTTTCTACGGACGTCTGTGGCTCTTCCTTAGAGAAAGACATTAAACCCTTCAGGACGCCCACGGTGCGCGGCAGGAGAAACAGAGTCCCTCTGTAAGACCCAGATGAGACTTAGCACAAGTAACGCCATCTTGTTACAGGCCCTCCATCTTGTCCCTGTGGGTTTCGGGTTCACTACAGGACACAGAGTTCCCGGAATGTACTTATTATCTGTTAAGACACCATGGAATGTATCATTGTTTCTGTGTAAGGAACACCCTGTTTGCTAAGTAAAGAACAGCTACAACACCCACCCCCGCCACCGTCCCCTAACTGCAAAAATTCTGCTTCTGTAGTTCTGCTTGCTAAGCACCCCTGCAGCCCCTATAAAACCTTCCAACCCCCTGAGCTCGGGGCCCCTCTCTAAGCTTGTTTGCTTGGGCGGGGCGTCTGGCCAGACTAAGAAAGGTCTGTTTTACTTTTCCAACTTGTCTGGTGTGTTCCCTCCCGGGTGTTCTTCGCTGCAGTCAGCTCCTCGGAGCATTTGGTAAGGCCCTCGGTCTTACACCTCACTCTGTAACATTGATAACTCTCGCTTTATCTTCTTTGCATCTCGCAGTCTTCAAGACTGGAAATTAGGAAAAGTTGCTCTTGCGCACACATTTGAGCGCCAACCACTCATTCGTTACCAAGAACAGAACCCAAGCTGCCCGGGAAAGGCAGCCTACGTTACCACTCCCTCCTCGGGTGCCCGCGGGGGCTGCGCATCTAGTTTTACCTCGACTGCGGAAGGACTTCGGGAGATGCGCCCGTGGAGACTTCCGCCAGCCCCGGCCTCGCACTGTCCCCTCCCGACTTCCCGCGGCCCTGCCCCTGCCCCTGCCCCCGACTGCCGAAAGCATCGGAGGGGACCCGCGTTCCCAGCTGGGTCAGAGCTGAGCCCCCAGGGAGGAGTTCGGGGCTCGAGGGGGCGCCCGCGTCTGTGCCCCTGTTCCCCTTTCTCAGCCTCCTGCACCCGGTCCGTTTGTGAGGGGTCCCCAGCCCGGGTGGCAGTCGTGCGCGCGCTCGGCTCTAGGCCAGGCAGTGCCCACTCGCTGGGACGCGCGTGGCGTCCGCGTGGCCACCTGCGGGCTGCTCCGCGAGGCGGTGTTCGCACAGCGCCCCCAAGTCCCTCCGAACAGTGGACGCAGGGGCCGGCCCTGCAGCGCAGTGAGAGGCTCTGGGGTCCCGCCTCGGCGGGCGCTGCCCGGGGTGCATCCCCCAGCTCCCAAGTGGGACCCCTGGGTACTCACTCGTCTGGGCCCGCGGAGCGGGGCAGCGGGCAGGAGCGGGGTGGCTCGAGCGCCCCGTTGACGCCCCTCCAGCCCTGGCGGCGGCGCTGCGGCTCCTCGCTCTCGTCCTCCCTGTTCTCCTCCTCCTGCTCCTCCGGCGCGGGGAAGGTCACCCTCGCCTGCTCCTTGCTCTTCCTGACCTTGGTGGACATCGCGCGGGCGGCGGTCCGCGCTCCGGGCTGCCGGCCCCAGGGCTCCTCGGCCGACGCTCCCGCAGCCCCGCAGCCCCGCAGCCCGCGGCGGGAAGGCGGGCGGAGCGCTCAGCGGGGCCCTCGTGCAAGCGGTCAGGGGTGGCCGCGGCTGCGGGGAGCAAGCCTGGGGCAGCGCGGGTCGCGGGCGCTGGGAAGGGAGCTCGGGCCCTGAGGCAGCGGCTGCGATGCCTGCTCCGTGCTGGCCTCGAGGCTGGGACAGCATCACTTGCTGGGACAGCATCACTTGCTAGGACAGCATCGTTACTCAGGGAGGAGAGGGAGGAAGGCAGGAGGGCGAGGGCGGGCGAGGAGGGGGAGAGTCAATTCCTTACCAGACAGAGCTGGACAGGAAATCAGACAGACCAGCAGGTGGGAAGTAAAGAAATTGGAGAAACTTCCTCTCCTCGCTCTCCTTTTTGCTTTCCAGAGAATCTAGAGCTCGTTTGCATCGGGACACAAGTTTCCTAAGGAAGAGAAAAGGGAATGGACTGGCTCGTGAATTTTCCTGCAGTCAAATTTACCCCTCGCAACTCCCCATATTTCAAAAGCACCGCTCTTTCGTCGTATTCAAGATTTGCTTGAACTTACAGAGGTGTAAATGCCTTTCCCATCAGTGCCTTTGTACCCCAGGATGGTATTGTTTTAAACGTGCAAGATGCATGTTCGTTTGATGGATCTCAAAGGCATCTAACAAGACTTACATACTATCTAAGAAATACTTTTCAGCAAAAATTTGAAGTCTTTTTAAAAAAAAACTTTAAGAAAAGTGGTCATAAAATGCAAGAACATTTATTCTGGGAGAAAAGAGTTACAGAACTTTAAGGACGCTTTTGTACGTAGGAGGGGAAGGGATGGGAGAGATGGAATAAAATAAAATTTATTTAAAAGAGTTACCCAGAATTTTGGTCAACAGGAGTGTCAGGGATCAAGTAATCTCTTCCCTTTTATTTTCATGTCATTTATTTATTTTGCAGAGCTGGGATGGGACACAGAGCCTGGAGTGTGCTCTACCACAGCTACACACCCAGCCCTGCTCCTTTTAGAAATGAGAAGGCTGAGTCCTAGAGAGGCTGAGTGAACTACTTAAGGTAGATGGATCATGAGGAACATTCAGATCAGACCCAGGAGGCCGCATTCTCAAGACTTTCTGTTGCCCAGCTAATCCAAATGGGAAGAAACATGGTGGGATAAAATGCGATTTGTTCTTTTTAAACTGTAGTCAATATACCATACTTCTTGGAGGAAGAGTTCTTCCCAAATTTAAACAAAACACAAGTAAGGAAGTTAGCTCCATTGAATTTAATTCTTCAAAAGTAAATAAAATACTCTGCCTTTCTCCAGCTGACAGTAAGTCTGCATGTCTCAGGCAGACCCCTTCCAGCACCGTGGACCTCCCTGCCTGCCAGTCTTTCTGCAGCACACCTCTAGGAGAGACCCAGAGACCGTGCTCAAAGCAAGTCTCATCGTGACTTTTCTATATAAAAATCTCTGGTGTTTTCCCACTGCTTTCAGGTTAAAATCCAAATTTGGCATACCCAGCCAGCCTTCTGTGGTCTGATGCTAATTCTTCAGTCCCTCCTCCCATCCTTCCTCATACGCAGTCTAAAACCCTCAGTGTCCCATTCTTCACCGGGTGGGCACACAGGTCACTTCCCCACCTCCCTACCTTTTTCAACTTCCCGATGCTGCAGTGTCTGAGCTCCGTCATCCACCTGGCACACTTGTATTTTTTCCTAAAGACCTGCTTATGATGGGCCTCCAATCTGACCGTCCTCCTGCATCCCAGGGAAGTCTGCATGGCCACGGTGTGGTCCTCACCCACTCTGCATACCACATCTCACCTCAGACTGCATCATAGTGAAGTTAATTCTGTGTGCCTGTGTCTTCCTTAAACTGTTGTGGCTTCGGGTCTTATTTATTTTGAGCTACTTGGGAGCTTATTTTTTTGCCCTTGTCATTTGTGCCTGGATGAAGTCAATAAATGTTTGTGGAATGAATCATTGAGGTCCATGGTTCTTTGTAGTCACATTAACAAGTTTAGGAACTGCCCTTGTGAGGCTCTGGAGAGAAACTCTGTGGGAACACTGGAGGCACCAGGGTTTACTCTTCCACACTCCATCGGTTTCCTAGGGTTACCATAACAACATATCAAAGACTCAGGGGCTTGGACAGCAGAAATTTATTTTCTCACAATTCTGGAGACTAGAGTCTGAGTGCAAAGTGTCAGCAGGCTTGGTTTCATCAGAGGCCTCTCATCTTGCCTTCTCCCTGTGTCCTTACATGACCTCTCCTCTGTGCCTGTCCCAATGTCCTCTTTTTATAAGGACACCACTGAAATTGGATTAAGGCCCAACTAATAAGCACATTTTACTTTCTCAACCTATTTAAAAACACTATCGCTGACTATGGCATATTGTGAAATACTGGGGACTTGGCTTAACATGTGAGTTGGGGGGGCACAGTTCAATTCATAACACACACTGGTTCTCCTCGAGCGAGGGAACTGCTTCATCCAGAGTCTAACATTTTGATTCTGAAAAAGTGTAGCTTTAAGATTAAGGGAAACCCAGAGGAGAGGAAATCTAAAAGAAAATAGATTTTTAGACAAGAAGAAGTGTGTAGCTTTTTGGCATAGGCCAGCTTTGTCTTTTTAGGCATTGTTAGCTGCTTGCATCCTCATTAATTGCTTGTCTAAGACACATTCAAAATCTGTGACCACTACCACTAAGTTACATCCCCAGCCCCAAAATATCCAACTCTTTTCAACTGGAGGTAGCCACTGAGGGATGAGTGGAGAATAACTTTCATGATAAATCCAAATATAATTAGTGATTTTTAAAAACCCGGTGGCAGAGGATGGTCTCCAAATTTCTCTTCAATTTCTAAAAAACTTCGATACCGTCTTTGAAATCAATTTCACACACAGTCAAAGGCTCCTGTTCTCCCTCTTCGCACTGTCCCTGCCCATTTGCTCTTTTTCCAGGGTCTATAGCATATATAGCAAGAAGACACTGTTGACAGTTAATGCTTTTACCACATCGTGTAGTTTAGGCTCAGCAGTTTCCTCAAGGGAAAGAGTATGGGAACAGGTACAATGTTCCAAACCAGTGCACATTCTTTTCCTCTTTAAGAATAGAAGTTTTCTCATAAATGGATTTTTTTAAGAGGAACCTTGTGTCAGCCAGGCCTGGTGGTGCATGCCTGCAATCCCAGCACTCTGGCAGGCTGAGGAAGGAGGGACACAAGTTCCATCCCAGGCTGGGCAGCTTCGTGAGATCCTGTATTGAAATAAAAAATTTAAAAAAGGCCAGACAGTGTAGCTCAGCTCAATCACCAGTACAGAAAAGGAAAAAAAAAAAAAAAGTAACCTTGTGTCTTTAGTTTTGTTAGCAGTATATACTAAAATAGGAAATGCTATGTGTTAGAAAATTTGAACTCCCCAAAGCAGGATCTCTGAACTCATTGTGTGGCAATTAACATTACAGTGCTTTTTATACAGAATTTAGTGTTTTGTAAACTGTTTGCCACTAATACTTACAGTTTCTAAAAGCCAAGGAAGTCCCAGGCAGTTTCCAAACTTAAATATGTGTTTGGAAATTTTTTCATGAGTCACAAGTTTGGAATTCAAAATTAACTTTTTCATAGAAATAAGTTGTAGAGGATAGTTATATTTCCAGGACAGTTTGCTTAAACAGTATAATGAGGTATGTAGGGACATACACTTTAAACCAGAGGCCTGGAATCAAATCCCTTCTCTTCCACTCACAGAGTGTGTAACTGTTCTCCAACTTGTCTGTCTTCCCCTCTGGGCTGTAAATTCTTACAGTTCTTATAGGCCAAGGGAGTTCCCAGCAGTTCCTAAGTGTCTTATTTGACCTTGAACACCAGTGTAATCATAAACCTGATTATGAAAAGCGAGTGTTCAATAAATGGTGACAAGTAATAAGAGTGCAGATATTCAATACATACTTGTGAAACGAAGAGACCGAAAAGGGAGGAGAAGGAGAAAAAGCCTGCTCTGGTCTCCCGCTGTGGCTGTGCTGCCAACTCGAGGTGAAATCTGAGAAAAGCGAAACTTCTTTAGGTCTCTTCCCTACTCACTTGCTCCACTGCTTTCTACCTTATCATACTAATCTGCCTTGGCACCTGTGAGCTCAGCGATATCATATTGTTTTAATTCTTCTGCAATGTTATCTCTCAGGTCTGCTGTGCCCCAAAGTACTCTGTGCTTCACAATTACCTTTTCACGTCCTGTCAGTCAAAATTGCTATTCCCTCAGGGCAGCCAATCCAGCTCGCTGTTAAAGGGAAAATATTTCATACAAATGACACTCATGTGTGTGTGTGCATACCCGAGTCTTAATGCTCCAAGGGATTTACATTGCAAAAATTGCAATAACTCTTCATTTAGTGGAATTAGAAGCTGTATCTGAAAATGAGGTGAAAGAAAGATTTTTTTTTTTTTTTTTTGAAGAACAGGAGTAGCTGCAAAGTATGAAGTCAGACATGCAGTAACGTCCCTGTAGGGTTTCTGACTTTGGTTTCTCCAGATAGTTAAGTTTTCAGTTCTTAACTGATGTAAATCTCCTCTCACTTCCTACCTGATCAATATCTGCCAATAGTACCACCACAAAAGCCTCCTAATTCAGGGAGAGAATGGAGTGGGCTGAAGGCCAGGCTAGGGTTTTAGAGTCTGTCTTGAGCAGAGACAGAAATTTATTATTAGGATACAGTTCTCCAGGTGTGCCTCACATTTCTATACATTTTGCAAACAGAGGAATGGCTGCCTGTGTTCTGGAACCTCTTTTCAAAGATATTTGTATGATGACCAGCCTTAGATGATAGAGTGTGTCCTTTTCTGGCACAAAGAGCAAATGTGTTTATTGCCCAGTACAATAAAGATAATGCTCTCCCTGGGGCCCAAACCAGGCAAGCTTCCCGGTTACCTATGCTCACAGTTCCTCTCTTCCAATGCAACCCACTGCATTGCAGATGGCATCTGGCCCTCTTCACGTCACTCTGTGGGAATCAGCATTCAGGGAATTGGCACGAATGCTGACATTCTGGCTACTGTTGTTGCTACAAGTAATAAACTGTCCTTCATCTCTAGTCTGGGAGTTTTGTGCCTTGTGCCAGCATCCATGAAACTGTGGCTCACCAACTCATTAGCTTACAGGTAGGGTAAAATCCCAGGTCCTTCATAGTTCTTGATAATTATTAAATTTTACAGAAGCAAAAATTCACAACTCTCCCAGAGCAGAAATATCTGAGAGTAAAGTTGTTCTTAAAGGGATTGTAATAACTCTCCCATGGGACCAAGTGGATTATTAATGAATTTTTCTATGCACAAGTACTCTTTTACATACCTGCTCAGACATTTTAAAATGTGAAATAAATATTAAAAGGAATAACTTCTCTTTCCCTAGGAAGAAATAGACTGGATGAATGCCTACAGTTTCTTTTTTAACTTTTAATTTTTTATCTATAATCTAAAGAATGCTGACTCCAGGACTGCTACTCAAGGCTTCAAAGTCTATTGTATTTGGAGCTCTGAGGAAAAGTGGAGTGAACGCTTTAGCATTCATTTCTTGACCCTTCTCTATGTGAACATACAGAAATCAAATCTGCTCAGCCTTTATCTTTGGCAAAGTTAAGAACAGCTCTACTTCATCTTAATCTCTATGATCCCAGTCGACCTTCTTCCACAAACTATTTTAAGATCTGTTCCTCAAAGTTATAGTTGTCCTTCCTTGAGAGAAGAAAGGTTTACCGTTACGGTTTGAATAAAAAATGTCCCCCAAAAGGCTCACGTGTTCAGAGATGTGGACTTTGGAAGGTGATTAGATCATAGAGGCACAGTGGGTTAATCCAATGATGGGTTGGTTCATGGTTGAATGGGATGTTAGGAGGTGGACTTGGTTGGAGGAAGTCAGTCACCGGAAGGGTAATCTGAATGGATATATGTTGTCCCTGGCCTCTTCCCTCTCCCGCCCCCCTCCTCCCCGGGCTGCCATGAGGTGAGCAGCTTCCCTCCACCACACCATTCTGCCAGTGATGTTCTGCCTCACCAGAGCCTCAGAACCCATGGAGTCAAGTTTCTGTGGGACTGAAATTTCTGAAACTGTTAAGTCAAAACAAATCTCTCCTCCTTTGTTACTCTCAGGTGTTTTGTCACAACTACAGAAAGCTGACTAACATCCTTACTGATAACTTATAAATGGGAAACTGGCCGAGACAGGACATATAAGTCACTTTTCAGAAAGGGAGGTAGGGAAAATAGATTAGCTCAATCTTTCCAGGCAGGCCACTTTTACCATCATTGAAATGAGCTAAATAGTTTCTTATTTTATTAATCCTACTCAGGCAAAATCCTTAGGACTTATTTAAAATGCTGATTGAAACTTTAAGTGTAACTCTTTATTTCTTCCAGCACACATTGCCTTTTTGTGTCAAATTCATTATGTGTTATCTCTACAGGTTCCAAACAGTCTCATTCCAAGGTCTGAATTGTTTAATCACAGAATTAGGATGTGGTTGTTAGTCTCCATATTACTATGTTACCACTTTATTTTCATTTGTTGTATTTAATAGCACAAGTATCTACTCACCACTCACAGATCCAGTGACATCTGACTTCCTGACACCCCAAGTCTAATCAGATATGATTTTAGAGAAGGGAAAGTGGGGTTCACTCTAGGTATATAAAGGACAGTATTTTGTTGTTGCTGTGTTCTTTCTACTCCTCAGTAGTTATCTCTAATCTTTAAACATAACTCTTTTATCCTGTAATGATTTTTTTTTTTTTTTTAACCAGGGATCAAACTCAGAACCTTGCAGTTTCGAGGCAGGAGCTGTGCCACTGAGCTAAATCCCCAGCCCTGTGACTCTTATCTCTAGGCAAAAGTGTTAAGGAAAAAAGAGTAATCAGACGGGACACCAAAAATGTTCTCTGATTCTTCCTACACTTGATCTTAGCCAAAAGGCCGAGAAGCGATCTCTCTGATTCTTCCTGCATTTACTTAAAATAAATTACCTTAAAAACGTATGACATACACAGAATGTACAATGTTTCCCTTTCATGCTAATTTTGATTAAAAATTAAAATTACATGTTATTCACACAGCAACATAGAAATATGTTGC